TACATACCTTGTTCATAGATACATATGTTTTTATGTGTACACATGAAGGAACATATGTATGAAACTATGAATGTTCACTCTCGTATGTGTAACACATGTAAATATGCATGTAAACATTCTCTCACACAACAAGAGGCATTAATATTCCTAGGCCATCACTAGCTTAGTCATGTCCACCTATCATAGTGCACGTTATGGAAATTTATTCTGCTCATTTTGATCTGCATTTTTTAAACTCTACAGACAAGAGATCATACATTTTGAAGGTTCTTTAACCATGCATCAAGTAGTTGAAAAATGAACAATCTCTCAACAATAAAATTAAAATGATATTAAATGACCCATGGATTAGGAGTTCTCAAACCACATAATTAAGGTTTTAAATATCTGCTATCAGAAATATAACAGATGGCCAAAATTCATATTGAATCCTAGTTATCAGGGATATATCAAGGATAGGTAGTAAAAATCGGAGTGTCATATCGGACGGTGAGCATATATAATATAATGTCCTAAAATATAATCTAAGCGCATTTAATGAAATATAAGCATACTACTATGTAAATGACAAATGCTTGGGATCACTTGTTTCTGTTTAGTGGATGTGGAATAAAATAGGATAGCTTGTTTTCATTTAGTGGATGCAGATTGTGTGTGGAAAAAAAGGGGGCTTTTGTCTCCAAACCTGAACCAGTTCACTTAGAATGTAAATTGTAGAAAATCGGGCGATTTTTAGCCCACAAAAAATCGGCCACTTTATCGGATTTACACTGATATATCGGGAAAATCGACTAAAAATGATATGCCGTAAATTTTTGCAGAAATCGTATCGGCTAGGGCCCAAACCCAATATATTAGCAATAAATCGATAAAATCGGCCGATTATTAAAACATTGCACATGATTGCTCGTTTAGTTGCTTTAAGATGCAGATCAAGGTAAATGTAATGAACCTTTCATTGAAGAGCTAAACTCATAGGTCATAAAAATATTTCTACCATCAGTAACTGTTCATTGTGCAACCAACTTAATACATGGACAAATACTCGTTAAATGCATGATTATGATAGAGCCTTAAAAAAATGCAGATCAAGATAGAGTGGACTACACACCTTTGTGCCATGAAATAACTAAACTCATTAGGTGAATGTAATGAACCCTTCATTTAAATAACCAAACTCACAATAAAATTACGCTTTAATTAAACAGTCAGTAACTGTTCATCGTGCAACCACTTAATACATGGACAAATGACCTTTTAATGCATGATTTATTATAGCGCTTTGAAAACATGCAGATGAAGCTAGGGTGGACAACAAAACTTTGTTCCATGAAATAACTAAATGCATTAGGTGAATGTAATGAACCCTTCTTTTAAAATAACTAAACTCACAAGTCACAGAATAAACTTTTGTACTGTCAGTAACTGTTCATTGTGCAAGCACTCAATACATGGGCAAATGACCTTTAAACGCGTGATTTATTATAGAGCTTTGAAAACATGCAGATCAAGATAGACTGGATTACACAACTTTGTTCCATCAAATGTGTTCTAAAGAGTGGGCATATAAGCCAGTTACTCCATGTGATTATGAAAGCAGTTTACATAGACACACATACTTTATTTGATGAGAGAAGGAGCATGTTGGACATCTTTTTTGCACGTGGGGAAAAGAATTTTATGTAAATTAATGAAGAGGGAGGTGTGGTATTAGCAAACTTGAAAAGTGGAAATAGTAAGGATATAGCATTGACAATTGGAGTGAATCACATGTGCAGTTGCACATGCACATAAATATATACGATTATATTAAAAACCACGTTAATAGTTGCTACAGTGAAATGTAACCCCCCACCCCCCCAAAAAAAATAATAATTTTGTCCCCTTCCCTGCAATCATTTGACCCTATGTATCATTAACACGTGGATTGAATCACATGTACAGTTGCACATGCACATAAATCTATACTATTATACTAAAAACCAAGTTATGTGCTATAGTGAAATGCCCCCTCCCCTCCGAACCAGCCCCCCCCCCCCCAATTTGTCCTTACTGCTCTGATTCATTTGACATTATGCCCTTATGAAATCAAAATTTAGAAAGACAAAAAAAATAAAAATGAATAAATATTTTTAAATCTCCTAAGCTTATAGATTAAAATGACCTTATTACCCCTCCCCCTCCTTAACCCCAACCCCCTCCAATTTGTCCCCTTCTCTCCGACCATTTGACACTACACCCTTATGAAATCAAAATTAAAAAAATAAATTAAAATTAACAAATATTTTTAAATCTACTAAGCTTATAGATTAAAATGACCTTATTACCCATGTAGTATCACTAAGTTGCACTTATTGTCCGTCATATTTTTGGTGCAAACACACCCCCTGGGTACCTATTATTGTTTAAGTCAAGTTAGTTTTAGGTCATACTTATTTCATAATACCTAAAATGACCTTATATGAGTTAGACTTCATTTTAACCCTTCTCTCTCATTAGGCTCTCATTCTAGCTCTTAGGAAGAAGCTAATACAACCTATTAGGGCTTCATTTGAATAGGACAAGGTCCCCCCCCTCGCCCGCCCTCCCTCCCTTCCTCTCTCCCCTCCTCAAGAAGTAAACAAAATTGGCCAAAGCAAACAACAATAGATTTTTTATTATAGTAACTCTCCCTCAATTTGCCAGGTCTAATCTATGCTATCAACAATGAATTGCCTCACAGTGCCAAGCTAAAACAATGCTAACAATCACGATAATTAAAATATAGATCTCTTATTATGTATACTCATGTGTATTCTAATATCCTACTCTTCTTTAATCTTTTCCTCTCCTCCAACAACTCCGTTCTTAGGATGTGGTTGGCAACCACTCCAAAATTGGACCAAGACTAATACTGGCCCTATTTTAAGCAAAACGGTTTTATTTTGGACTAAGGGGAGGTGATCCAAAACAAAACATTTAAAGGACAACTTTGTCCTTCGAAAACTAGGTCAATCCTGGCCCAGTTTACCCAAACAGGTTTTCTTCCCAAAATGAGGTCAGGTTTAAACCTGGCCCCATTTTGAAGAGTTGCCATACACACCCTCAACCTACTCTAAAGCCAACCACTTTGTTAACCTCCTCAACCTCTTCTCCCTCTCTAAAATCCAATCGCACAAGCCAATTACTTCACCCTCGTTTTCGCCATTCATGCTAATTGCACCAAACTCTCAATTCTCGATTCAGGGAGGTTTGCGTCCTCATGATGAAAAACTTAGAGAGAGGGTCTAACTCACATAAGGGCATTTAGGTATTTTAAAACAAGTGTAGTCTAAAGGTAACTTGGGTTACATAGTGCTAGGTTTCTCGGGGTGTGTTTGCAACAAAAATACTACAGGGATGGTAAGTGCAACTTAGTGATACTACAGGGGGTCTTGTGTTCGCAATTAACCCTAAAAGAATGAACTCATTGGAGTTGCCTAACGGACTTTTAAATGAATGTCTATGGTAGATGATTAAAAAACCAAAGTTTATTGCACATGCACAGGGGGTGTGTTTGCAACAAAAATGCTACAGAGATAGTAGGTACAACTTAGTGATATTACAGGGGAGGTGTTCGCAATTAACCCTGTAAAGCATGAACACACTGGAGTTTCCTAAAATGACTTTTAAATGATTGCCTAAGGTAGATGATTAAAAACAAAGTTTATTGCACATGTAGAAAAATATTATATGAAAAATGAACTCCTTGGAGTTGCCTAATGGACTTATGTGTAATTGCCAAAAGTACATTTGAAAACAGAAACTTAAACATAGTTAGCGGCAGTGTTTTAAATGTCGGCCGTCATTTCGAACATGTCAGCCACCATGTCAGATTTAAGGGTCAACCGACACGATATGGAGTTTTTCAGTGCGTATTGTATTTTCAGGGTTCATGTCGGATATATCGAGGGACATGTCGGATATATCAGGCAGATATAGGAGGACATGTTAGCTATGTCGGTCGATTTTTCAATTTGAAAATTGGCTGATTTATTTTATTTTTTTTTCTAGTTATGTTTATCTAATCAGGTTTGGGTTTAAATTCCTTATTATCTTAATATTGCTTCCAAAGACAAAACCCGATTAGTTAATAAAAAAAGACCGAAGTCACTTCCGTTGCTCCTCTTCTCTCTCTCTCTTCGACATCTCATTGGTCTCTACTTTGAGTTGTTCCTTCCACATCAATATTGGGTGATCTTTTCTCTCCTTAACTACCAACATCTGACTCCTCTTTTCTCACCTTTTGTCTTCAACATCAACCTTAAGCATCACAAGTTATTTACTTTTTTTATATGTTAGACAAAAGAATTTATTATGTTTAGATTTTATTTATGATATTTATATTACACATATGCACACCATCCGGTATGGCAATCCGATATTTTTTTCATGTCCCCCGACATATCCCCGATTTTCGCTATCCGACATGAATTTTAACCGTCTAACATAAACCCGACATCCGACATTTAAAACCCTTGGTTAGCAGAAGAAGATATGACAGAAAAGGGAACAGAAACTATATGTGCTTAATATAAGCAAAAATACATATTCAAAGTGACGAAAAATAATTGAAGCGCCGGAAATTGATGTGAATCATACTTTAGGCAATTGGTTCAGAAAAGATGGATATGATAACAGCTATATTATTATATGCCAAATTTAAATGTCAATTGCCCAATTTGTTTACACAGAATTTAAAAAATAACTAAAACTGAAAAAAAATTTATATTTCAGCTTATTTAAATTGCTTTGATGAATAAAAAAATCTTTTAAAAAGACATTTGTGACTAAATCACAATTCAAATTTAAAGTATAAATAAATTAGTGTCAAAAAGTTACTGAATTTTTTTTAAAGACTAGGAAAATGCCAAAACAAGTCTTTAAAATAGTTTAGAGCACTTTGTCGAATAATGAGTTTTCACCAATCTTTCTTTTAAATGGAGTTTCAAATATGATGGAACCAAACAGTTTTTTTAAACATATGAAGTCTCATAAGGAATTTCAGTAACTATGCCCATAAGTGAAGTTAGTTCTGATACTGTCGATTATAACAAAAAATAGTCACGACAGTTGCTTATGTGTAGAAAAGCATGGCAACCCAAAGAACATTTTGAGTGAGTGCCATGCCATTTATAGGTCTCGTACACATGTTATAGATGTGCCACAATCTAACCTGTATATGTGTAGGGCCATAGGTTCATGAAAGCTAACATGTCCAGTGTGTTAACTGGGAAGCAAGTCAACAGACAAACCTTAGCATTGGGATTTAACGTTGACTTTTCTGAAGATAATGATCCCATAGAAGAACTTGGAGATAGACCAGGACCACTTGAAACTAAGCCTGCAGAAATACGCTCAGAAGTAGATGGTGCAGAAGTTCCAGAACGAAGAGAGGGATTCACAAGCTCGTTAGCAGCAGAAGTTACACGTTCAGAATGTCCACAATTAGATCGTTCGCTGTCTTGACTAGAAGAAGACTGATCATTTGCAGCAGTACTAGAAGAAAGATCCTTAGCATCAGCTGAGGATTGTAGTGCTGAGAAATATATAGCAGTATCCAAGTAAGAAACCGAACGTTTGAATTTATGAAAAACACGTGAAATGGCCAAAAGATAGAACAAGGCAAAAAAGGAAAAAAATGTAAGTGTTTCAACCAAACTATGAGTATCACTACCTAATTAAAGTTCTAAACACAATTTTAAGATGTCAAAATTAAACAACTTGCTCAAAATTAAACAACTTGCTCATTATCCAAAGCTTCAATGTATTTAAAGTAAACCCATTGCCCCTTAAGTTCTTCCAATTTATGACGAGCAAAGATAAAATAGACTAGTACAAATAAAAGATCCTGAGAAATGTTCAGGTTTTATTCCAAAATCCATCCAGGATAGTCAAATATGCCTTCTCAAAAAATAAAATAGAGTATATAACAAAATAGAGTACAGTTCTATTTTCAAGTACCATTTTCTTCGGAGCAATACAAAAAAATAAATGCTCATACGCAAGAAAATCATGATGTCCACTATAACAAAAATCAAACAGAAATGTCTTGAATGGGTTCACTTTTTACTAACCTTTATCTTGCGATGTTTGAGCCTTTTCGAGTGCCTGCACAAAGTAAAACAGATGGGTCAGCCATAAGCAAAGATCGCTACAGGAGATAAAACAGTTATCTAGGTAGAAAAGCAGAGTATTCAAATATAACTAACAGTTCTCTCAGCGCCCTCATTCAAGATACTCGTTTCTTTGACTTGATTCTTTATATGCTTCTCGCCCAACCTAATAGACATTTCAGCATGTTAGATCCAAGGTACGATAACAACCCACAAACAAATATATTTCCCGGCAGTAAAATGCTAAACAACATGCAATTCAAGCCTAAAGGAAAATATCAGCATAAACATGTAGAGCTAAAAACCTGCTCTTATCATTGATTGCTGCAGATTTCTTGGCTATAATGTTGTCAGCAGAAGATATGTCAGTGTCTTCAGAACTATAAGGATCTGCATCCTTACCAGAATGAATTTCAGAAGAAGCTCCTGCATCCTGAGCACGTAAAGATTTAAGATTAAGTAATTTTTTATCTTTACTGAGTCAAATGGGTGATCCACAAAATTTGGTTAGCTGGTGATATATGATATCTATGACAACTACAAATGTCCTTATTCAAGAAGTAATTACTGTGGGGGAAACTTTGTAAGATTGAGGAAGATCAAGAGAAGATATTGACATAGTAAAAGCTTTAACTTTGACATGATACTATAGCAGAGAATCCAAAGAGCCAGAAAAAAAAACTCCAACATGTATTGTTAATTGCAACCTCCGGACATGTTTCTTTTGTGTTCTGAAATGAAGTTAGCCATAAGGTTATCATATTTGCTTGGTTGCAGTGCTGCAACTACGCAACCCCTTAGTTAAAATAGATTGTAAACATAGTACTATTCTACCATCTAACTGTGAGGGAAACATATGTGGTCAACTTATATGTGAACATAACAAAAGGAATTCAATATTAAATAAATAGAACATAGCCCAAAAGAATAAAAGAGATAAGACCGTACCACAGATGAACAGGTAGATAATACATGCGCTCCATCAGTGAATTTACTTCTTGAGATATCTGCGTATGATTTAGGAATTGTACCACCATGGGAGCTACCAAAAGTTTCGGTATTGTAGGTATCCGAAGATGAAATTCGACTTTCTCCAAAAGTGTTATCATCAATTTCCCTTCGAACTGCTGAATATTTAAGTTCCTCATCGAGGTCGAAATCTTCATCCAACTGAATGCCTCTTTCCTGTTTAATGGGTTAGCATAAAAACGTCTGCATCTTAAACAACAACATACTAGAATAATGGGTGCATATATCGCAAAAGTTTTACCTCAGCTAAATGAAGGTCCCGGGTTTCCTCTCCCTCTATTTCCCTAGCTATTCTTGTAGCTTCCCTTTCTAATTCTCTCATTCGGGGACCTTTCTCAAGCTTTGTTGTATATAGTTCCTCATTAAATGTACTCTTCACTCCAAAGAGAGCTGCATTTGTCTCAAACTGGTCCCATTTTCTAAGTGGAATGAACAGCTAATCAAAACAGATGAAAATAATATGGTGATTTATACGAACTAAACCAGGTTATATTTTAAAAAGGAAATTATACATGTGAATACGTCAAATATAGATGGTGCCCAGAAACATATTCAAGAACAAATGCCTAACAAGAACAGTTCATGAAGAAAAAAGATTATAGGAAAATCTTAAATCACCAATACAAATTAAGCAAACTGTAAACACATATATTATAGAAGTTTAAGGTAGACCTTTTTCAGTATAAATAAACATGTTCGAGAAAGAAGAAATCCTCCAAGAAATGCACTTTAGTTTAGCCGATGTCAATTGACTTTAACAACTAATAAAGGTGGTATATGTAAATACTAAAGTTGACAGCTATTTTTATAGAACTGTGTAAATGCAAATACTCATTATCATCCAAAAATAACTTGAAATCGCAATATATCTAACCAAACAATAATATTTAACATGATCAAACCTACTATGACCCACCTATTCCAAGTTCCATCAAATATATCTTCCAGTTCAGGGCAGTCCGCGTCACCTGCATCAGAGGTCCAGCGTTCCAGTTCTCTCTCTGCCTCTAGATGACGAGAGCTTGATATGGCCAAGTCTATCATTAGATCCTTCCGTTTTTCATGGGGATATGCATTTGAGAATTCCTCAATATTTAAAGGCACATCCTGAAATTGAGTACAACTATTGGAAAGCATAACAATAAAAAAAAACACTAGCAGGCAAAGGGAAATGGCTTCATCAGTTAGATTTGTGAAAGTACTAGTGCAAAGATAGCAATTACATGGTCTGAATGTTATTAAGAGTAAAGATACAAATATCTTGCGAAAGTGCAAAGAAATAGACCACATGCAAGATGAGGGTTGACATATTAGCATGCAAATCCTAAATATATGCTCACAGATCAATATATTTAAGGAGAGGGTAGAACCTGTGCTACAACTTGAACAAGATCCTTTGCTTGTATGATCATATCCATGGGCTTTTTCACAGCCTCAGACATAGGCTTCTGTGCTCTGACAGAACCATCCTTAGTGACTTGAGCCTTCTTCAAAACAATTGCTGCAAGTAGAATCAAAACATTTAGAAAATGAATGTAACAATATACATTCAATTAAAAGGAAAATAAATAACATGCAACAACAGAGCTCAAACATACCAAAGTCTTTTTCAGTATTTGTTGCATGAAATATTCCGGATATTATTGATCCATTCCTCACATGGACTTCCACACGGAGGCCAAGAAGATATGAAATAACATATATCAACCGATCACGAGAATCATTTATCATATCTCCTGATGTTCCACCATTTTCTAAGCATGTATATACTATTAGATGATGAAAAGAAAAGCCCGCCATTTAGAAGTTGCAATCTTTACCTGCATTACCAAAATTGCAAGAGGCTGCCTTCCCAGTGTGCGTCTTACTCTCAATCTTGGGGCCAATTTCTCTATCAACTCTTCGACGACCAAACCCATTAATAGAAGATCTGGGCTGTGTGCTCTGTTGTAGATTCATCTTAACCTTTAAACTCCTCTGAAGGGAACAAAAGGAACACTGCTAAGTTAAAAGAAAGTTAATCTTTTCGCGAGACTTTTAGATTCAGATAAATACCAATACTCTGAGAGAGAGAGAGAGAGAGAGAGAGAGAGAGAGAGAGAGAGAGAGAGAGAGAGAGAGAGAGAACCCACATGATTTTTCTGTGGTAACGAAGCAGTAAACTATTAAGTATCTCACAAAGACAACAAAATCACTGAGAGGGGGTTAAATGTATTGAAGGATACCTAAGCCTTAAAAAGTAACTGGTCACTGTATATACATTATTAGGACATAATATCCAACATAAAAAATACCTGGCTTCTGCATCGCTTTAACATAAGATATCAATACTAAGTGAGGATAGGAGGAGTTTGAAAGATATGAAAAAAATGTCCTTCATCTCACTAAGACATAACGACAATTTGGTCATTTCACAAAAAAAATTCTTTTCTTTTTTCTTTATTTATTTCTAGAACTTACTAAAGCATGTAATAGAGCTAACTAATTAAATATCTATTACATTGTATACTATAAAAATATATAAATATGAAAGATAAAGTTCTTGTAAATAAATACAATAAAAACAACAATTAGAATTTCAATATATTCCATTATAAATATTATAGAAAGTGGATATCTAAACACTCAGCTTTAAAATTACTAAATAAAACATTCTGAAAATGAAATATGAAAAATAACTCTTTTAAATAATATATCTAGGAAAATTACGCCATTATTGAAATATCTATGACACTTTATGGTATTATAATTATTTTTTTATATAAAAATCACGTGCATTTGCACAAGCAATAATGCTAGTTTTCATAAAATCGCCAAAAATTCGAATACATGAGCACAAAAGACAAACAAAAAAAAGCCTTTTTTGCCTATTTCCTTATTAAAGTACATGTCAGCTTTCTTCCACTTCCTTGTGAAGGTGCATCAACTTCAATAAATGAGCTTACGACAACTTCCAAACTCTAGGACATGGCGAAATGGATTGCAACAATTATTCGTCTAGAGGGAAAGGAAGCACACGTATGAGCACGATGACATATCCAATGTGCAATGTGGCACTTTCCGGATGGTTGGTACCCTTCGATAATTAAACCCCTTTTTATATTTGAATGCAATATTTCTTTTATCTTTTGCTCATGTCTTAAGTTTGACTATATTCATTTCATATATTGTTCTTTTTTTTCTTTTTTATTTTCTGGTGGGCTGGAGCTAATATACTAGGATGATTGTCTTGTCTACAAGGTTACTGAAAGCGCTAGGCGAACTAAGAGTTGGACACAACGCCTAGAGCCTACGCAGGGACTATGCGTTTTCCTATTTTTTTTAGTTTTTAATTATAATTACTGATAGTAAATGTCAGTGTCATAGAAAGTTTAGGTGTTAAACTGACACCGAGACAGATTTCTTAAGTGGTGATATAGGAGGTTTTGCTAAAGGTCGGAAGAGATAGAGAAGGTGTTCATAATTAGAGTTTGAAGGAGTTGCAGGACGTAGCGGTTACAATGGAGGAAATCTGTAAGGAACCGAGGGTCAGTCGACTGCAGGAACTGAGGATCAGTATACTGATTGTTGATACGCAAAGGACAGATACGCAAAGCATTTGAACGCAGAGGGGCAGATATGTAAAGACTTTCAAGGTCTTTGTAATAATTGTTTCCTGTTTAGTTAAATTGTTTTCTGTTTTTTCTGATACAAACTTTTTGTGCACGTAACTGTTTGTGCACGTTTTTGTAACTCTCTAGAATCTGATTTGTAAGAAGACGCTTTGTATAAATAGGAGAATGGGAACATCATGGAGGTTATGAATGAAATAGAAATTTCGTTTCCTCAACTCTCAATCTCTGCCTACATTCTTCCTCAATTTCTTCTACAATTCCTTCTCAATAGAGTTGCAATCTCAAACATGGCTAGGAATGGAGCTAGGAAAGTCAATAGAGGTTCCAGGACCTCTCAATTGGTATTAGAGCCAGCTGGATCTGAAGCAGCTGAAGAATTCATGACTGATCTCGATGATGTTTCTGCTGACGAGATGACTCAAGATGAAAGAATGGCTCGTGTGGAGGATGCAATAACTCAACAGAGCCTACTCAATCAGCAATTGACTGCAAGAATGAGTGAGATATCTTCTTAGTTGTAAATTGTTGTTCAAGAACTCAAGAACTTCAAGGATGTGGAAAAAGGAATCTCAGGATCTGGAATGAGGAATGATCAGAGAATTTTGAGCTCTAGATCAAGAGATGACCGCGGAATCTTGGGATCAGGCGTTAAGGAATCAAGCAAGGATGATCAAGTCAATGAACATACCCCTCAATCTCAGAGAAAGGTTGATCTCACTGGTGACTTTCAATCAGCTCACAATCTTGGTAATCCCTTAACCCAGAAGAATTCTTTCTTCAGTAATCAAAAATTGGTTCAACCAAAGTCCTTGCATTTAGATTTTCCCTCTTTTTCTGGTACTGAGAATGTAATAGCCTGGTTAGAACAAACTGAACAAAATCTTTGACTATTATGACATAAAGAATGATGAATGGGTTAAGGTTTGCTCTTTTTATTTCAGAAATGAAGCGTTACAATGGTATAGATGGTTTACAAGAAATCTTGAAGGTTACAATCGATGGGAAGTTTTCAGAGAGGAGATAATTACAAGGTTTGAACCTAGTGAGCTTTTAAGACCCTATGATGTTTTTTTGATGTTTTTTTCACTATGAAACAAACCTCTACAGTTAGGGTATTTGGAAATTTTTGAACAAGCATTAGGCATGGTAGATGACCAAACCTTCTAGGAGACGCATACTGAAAAAATTCATAGGAGGGTTAAAAGATGAGTTGAGATATGAAGTAGATGTTGCCAGGCCATCTTCTTTGAAAGGAGCAGTGTCTTTAGCTAAACTGCTTGAGGATAAGCAAAAAAATGAAAGGAAATTAAAAGGAAACCGGAATGCTTTTAATCAATGGGGTCCTTCAACAAATTCCTCTCATGATTTTCCTGTACGAGAGAACCATCGTTCCTCTTCTCAGTTCAAGAAACTCACTCCTGAAGAGATACAAAATAGGAGTCAGAATTTATGTTTCACATGTGATGAAAAATGGCACAAATGGCACCAGTGTAAGGAGAAGCGTTTATTCATTTTGGAGGGGATCTTAGAAGGAGGTGTAGAGAAGAGTATAGATGATTATATGGTAGACACAATAGAGCTAGCTGAAAGTTTAGTGAAGGGAACTCCCTCTATATCAGTGCAAACTCTTAGTGGAATCACAGCCTCTCACACTATTAGAGTAGTAGGCTATTATAAAAACCAAGCAATTAGCATTTTGATAGACTCTGGATCCACACATAACTTCATTAATGCTAAATTGGTCAAGAAACTTGGGTTGACAGTGACAAAATATGACAATTTTGATGTCCTAGTAGCTAGTGGAGAGCTAATCAAAGGAGCTGGAGTGTGCCAAGTGTTGAGTCCTCTTGTTTTGATGATGCTTTAACAAACAATTTACCACTGATCTTGTTTTCAGTATCTTGTTTAGTGCTGTTTTAGCATATACAGGTATATACAAGAATTTGACATACAACTCATTTATTGAAGCCATGCACATCTCTAGTCAATTCAAGCCCAGGCTTCAGAAGAATTCTTCTTGGTATACTTAGTATAGGTTTATATATTGTGTGACATTCTATGAGCTCAAATACACACACATACATCATTTATGAATTTTTCATTAAAACAAAGGTTTTTATGCAAAATACATTCAAATATGTTTTGGGTCATATAAACTATGTTAATATCATTTACTATGCCCATATAAAGTATATACAAGTTTTCATTTGTTGATTTGAACCAAAATTACAAAAACAACATGTTTTGAAAAACATGTATTTTAGACTTTTTGCATATTCAAATGTTTTTACAAATGAGAAGAGCTATTTGAAAAATTCCTTTTCCAACATGTTCATATTCATGTTCATAAACTTTCCCCAAAGTTTTACATTTTTTAGAAATTATTTTCTATTTTTAATAGAGCTTCAAAAATCATCTTCAGAACTAATTCTGGCATATTTCTTGTGACCAGTCGACTGATGTGTCGACTAAAAAATATGGCTGGAATCTTCATTTAGCCTCTGCTCCATTTTAGTCGACTGATGTGTCGACTGACCATGTCAGTCGACTGATAAGTTTTCATCAGTCGACTGAAAAGCTGGCATTTGAACTTAACGACCAGCTCATCAGTCGATTGGCGGCGCCCGTCAGTCGACTGATAAGCTCTCCAACGGCTAGTTCTGAGAAAAATCTGGTTCTTGATTTTTAGGATATTTTGCTGGTCTTCATTGGGTTTTGTACACTGTTTTCTCTTCCTATATAAACCCCCCAATGTCTTCTTCAGCAAATGCAGTTTTTCATGTGTTTTTAACAAAAGTTTAAAAGATTATCAAAGTTTGTTTAAGAGTTTTAGTTTGGTTTAACAAGAGGTGGCTTGCTCTTCAAATTGAGGAATTCATCCTCAATCTTCTTCAACCTCTCTTGTGTTTTATAGAGAACTTTTCTAACTCTATTTTCTAGCAATTTGTCCTTGATTATTTATATATTATTATTGCTAGTTTGTTGATTGAGTTAGATTTCATTTATTTTCTTTTATCACACTTATCCACATTTGAGCTTATAGTGTTTCATACAATATATTGTTGGATAGTAGTGTGTGATTTAGTGATATTGGGATTCATTGAGTTCTCATCAATTGTAGAAAACATCCATTACTGTAATTGTGCTTATTGTGAGGTTCACTTTGTAATCCACTTGTACACCGAGAGAAGTGTGTGACGAGAGTCAGGGATCGTCCCAAGAAGAGTAGCGTCGGTTGACGAACTTAGGGAGAGGTTGTATCCGAACACTTGAGGGAGACACGTCTAGTTCCAACACTTAGTGGGTGTAGAGTGGGATTACAAGAGTGTTGATTATAAAGTTTTCGGTTAGCTAGAAAACCGA